CGGTACTGCCGGCGATACAGTGGCAGTGGACGGCTGCTCACCGGTATTTTACTGGCGACGATCACCGGTCGAAGGAAATGTGAGAGGTGGAATTTTCAGAAAAATCATGCTTTGCGTTTTCCAGAAACGTCTAACCTACAATCGACCGTGAGTCACGTTGTATATAAGAAAAACTATTGAAGAATAATTGTGAATAAAAAATTCACACTTACCTAGATTTTTCAGCTTTTGCAATGTATGTATACGTTCAATAATGCTGTTAAAAATATTTATTGAAATATTCTTCTACTTTTTATAATTCTGAAACTGATCACATCACTTTTTGTTGTTCAATTAATTCGTCTGTGCCCGGTTTTGTTTATTCAGTTCGTCAACGGATCATGATTAAATGAATGAAATTATCATCCCTTGAACGCCCACTAAAACTTCATATTACATTTCGATGAAATTGTATACCTCTGCAAAATGTTGACGTTAAATATAATTCAAGGAAAGAGCAGTACCGATTTTTTGTTATTGATTGATGGAAGTCATCGGAAATTTATGACCATGAGTCGGTTCACTTTTTGGAAATATAGCAAAATCACTTTAAATGAGTTGTTACTGGGCCGGATTGAGTCAGAAGGGCCCGGTCGGCTCCCCACGAGCTTGAGATTAAGGTAAATTGGATGATATGGAATGCGCATCTAATAGACAGATATATGGAATTTAATTTCCAACAGCTGTATATCAAATTACAGGAAATGTTGAATGCTGAAAATGTAACATGTATAGATTCGATTGACATATTGAAGATGATTTAGTCTTTACAGTGTTTATATAAAACCATTGAAAATTATAAGAAAAATCTATGTGTGAAAGGTTCTATGTGAGGTACAATCCTTGATACAATTGAAGGAACTTTTGGTTATATAACATATGTCAAAAGAAAGGTTGCATCTTTTGAAACAACCAACTGATTTGAGCCTTTCCTTTTTCAGTAATTGTACATTCTGGGAATGAAGACCTATTATTGTTATTATTGTTAATAATTTGAATTGCACGTATAACACATTATTTTTACTGGTGCTCTGAGATTCGAAACTAGTCAATACAGTTTATTGTATGATTTTAACTATAATACGTTTCTCTATACAATAACTCCCTCTAGCGCAGGGGTCTCCAAACTATAGCCCGCGGGCCAAATCCGGCCCGCCAGTGTGATCAATCCGGCCCGCGACAGCCAATAATTTACTGTCATCAATCTGGCCCGCGACAGCCAATGATTACCTAATTGTTGTTACTATTGCTGTGATAAGTTGAGCTGCTGAAAC